ATGAATTGAGACCTTTACAAAATATTAACAACACAGTTGTTTTAGAAATACTCAACTATTTATTTTTGTATTATTGACATACTGATTGCAGACAGTGTAGTCCCTTAGTATTTTATCACTAACTCCCTTTGCCCTTTAATCTTTCCCACCCTGTACTGACTTTGTAAATGTTGCCTCTTTATGACAGAGGATGTACAGAAGAGATTGTTCTTTAACAATAGATTAAGTGATCTCTTACCGTCCTGTGGAAAGGAACTGAATGTCTACATTTAAGTGCGCTGCAATAAATTAGTTTGTGTATTGATTGAAAACAAAATGTGTCATTGTCTCCATTAATGAGAACTTGTGTCATACCTGCTCATCAACAGAGATTTCTGCACTGCAGGTCTGATGGTTGTCAGCTTCAATTTAAAGCTCCTGTGATTAGCTGCTGACTAGTCATGAAACAGACTGAATTATTGCTGATGCCTATTATTAACAGGAATAATAATAGTAGAATAATCACATTGCCTTTTAGTATGTTAGATTTTTTTTAAACATATTGTGGAAAAAAAAGTTAATTATGTGAAACAAATTGGCATGTAAAGGGTTACTTTTTAGATTTCATAATGACCACAATTAAAACATTTAATAAAAACAAACAACCCCTTAAACAATGTCCTTCTGAGAACCTTCGCAGAACCACATTGATGGCCAACCTAGCGTACATGATGAATATAAAAAAGATCTTTTTCCGTTCCAGTTTTAATGTCCTCTACATCTGCTGCCATACATCTATGAGAAATGCCATATCAGTCAGGTTCTACCAAAGAGTACACTGACAGAGTCTAGCTGTCTCTGACCTTTCAGTCTGTCATGCTGTGCAGAAGGCAGAGACGGACATGCACAGCGTCCTCAGCGCCCTGCAGACACACTTTAACCTTCACACACCATATAATGACACAGTCAAAGAGTACGTTTAACTCGACTAATAGACTAACAGCAGTCTGTCTCTTTATAAGAGGACACCTCTGACTGCTGCAGGGGAAGAGCTACACCCACACACTTACACTAAACACTGGCTGGTTTAAGCAGCTTTTTATTTTACAGGCCTGCCCTCAAATGGCTCCAGGTGTAAAAACATTAAATGGGCAGCTCAAGTTGACAGCTAACACAGAACAGACCCACAGTGGAGCTCTCTCGACAGCTGACCTGGACTCAGAGCTGAGCTGAGCTGCTGGTACTGGGAGCACAAGCTGAACTGGAGCTCCTCCATCCTCTCTCACCGGGACATTTCTAAGTGAAGTAGGGCGGCGTGTTTCTGCAGTTAAACCTCCGTCTCTCCACACTAAAGGGCTCTTTGTCCTGCAGAAGGACTTACTAATTGCTTAAATAGCTCTCAACACAGAGCCGGTCACAGTGCTCTCTGTGTCGGATACTTAAGACTTTATAGATGGTAGTTAGGACTACTTAAAACCACAGTGTGAAAACTAGCCATGAAAAGTCGACTGAGTTTTAACGACTCCTTTTAAACGGAGTTAATCATTTCGTCAATTTTATTCAATTTCAACTTAAGACTTCTTAAAGATAGTAGCCTTTCACTAGATCAAAAGTATTCGACTACCAATGTAATAATCCCTTTTTCATTTAAAGGAAGAACGTGTGACTTTTTGATCCAGTAGATGTGGCCCTTGAACACCAAAACAAACTGCTGTTTGGCGACACCTCCGCTATTCTTAAGCCTCTGCTCTCCTCCAGCCACACACCTCCAACCCCTCTCCACTCGCGTTCACATGAAGGATTAATCAAATGGAACGCACCATAATTAAGCACCATTAAGCACATGCAACGGACAGAATTGTCCATTGTTAGCAGACTTTAGTTAACTCATAGCTTCATATTGCACATAAATTAACACGTAATGATCGTCATCTAAAAACACTGTAAACATGATGTAAACACAGCTCTGACAACAGTAAAGCTAGCAGGACTCGAGCTTCTCGCTCAGTGTAGACAGTCATGACTCAGAGAGACGTTTACAGAGGTTATACTTGATTTCTGCTGAAATTATGTGTAAAATGTAGCAGAGTCTTCCTTCTTCAAGTAAACATAGCACACACTCTATTCCAAGTTCTACATCTTCTGAAGTGGGAGGAGGAGATATTCCTCCTGGTCTGTCAACACTTGTTTTCAAAGTATGGTTTCTGCAAAGGTTGGCCTCACAGCTGCGCGTCATTAGAATAAGCACAGAGATTCAGATTACATGAAGTCAGAGCTCTAAATTCTACACACACTCCACTGTCCCCACAGGTGTTTTCATTTAGTTTATCTGATGAGACGTCTTTTCTGAGCTCTGAGGGCACGCGCAGGCCAGCGCTTGATTGACATCTCTCTGGCCACTCTGAGGGCTCATTTGTGCGCCCTTGGGGAAAGAAGTTGTGGTATTGGAAGTTCGGTGATGGAGTAAATACTTCAGTGTTCGTGCACATTTTCCATTTCAAAACTCCATAGCTTTCCAGAGTCAAGACAGCTCTATACATCTGTGTAGATGATGACTGCAGATGTAAACTAGCTCTAAGCTAACCCTGGTAACATGCATCAAATGGCAACTTATATAATACTGTACGGTCCCTCTACAAAAATAAAACTTGTTTTTCTGTCAACAACCTTACTACAATGCTCTGAAATGTCCCAAAAAGTCTGATTATCTGTGATGGCTTTCATGAATACATGTCTTCAAAAAGAAACGTGAACAGCCAAACAAAACAAATAATTGGAACTGAGCGAACCATCTGAATTTTGTATTTAGGCTTTGCAGTGTGAACGCAACCTTAGGTAATTATGAGACATCGTCTTTTAAACCTATTTGGTCATTCACCAATGATGGTCTGATGTTGTGAACTGCAGGCGTAGAGACGGTAGCTCTTTTCATACGGCGTTTCTAAAAAAAAAAAAAAAACTAAGCTCAGCCGCCATTATATTGTGTTTTTGCGTTGGAGAAGCATGGCACAGCGGGAGCTTCACATACACCCTGTAGCGCCTCAGTTACTATCTATGAAGATGGTACAGAGGGGGGGATCACGATGACGCCTGTGTGACATTCATATCAATGGCAAAAAGTCAAAAGCATTATTATCACAGCTTGAAACAGCGGTCTGAATAGAGCTAGTTATTGTAGGAGTGTGTGTTTTCAGTACTTCTTGTCTTAATTTGAATGACATAAACCTCTCAAGTCTTTTTCTGCATGGCTTCAAATGTAAACAATCATACTTTACTTTATAAAATGGGGGAATCAATCTGAATAACAACTATTGCTCTATTTATCTTTTTTTATTTGATTTTTTTTAATGCTTATTTGTACCTGGAAATTATTATTAGCTCTCTTGTTCGCACTCAGTGCAGTACGCCTGTGAGTTCAATTAGAACAAGGTTTACCTGCTCGATCCACTCAAAACGTTAAATCATGAATCACCTTTGTGTTGTGAAAGATCACAGGAAGACGATAGCTGACGAACTGCTAATTATGTTTGGAAGGCGAAAAATCTGACAAACACAAAGTCAGCATAACTCACAATTTGAGGGGCATTATCACAATCATACAGCAGCCTTTACTGAAATGTCTTCAAATTCAAAGTATCAACTATTTCCTTTGAAATTTCCTTTGATATAAAGGCAAATGTTCTCATTATAGCGTCGTGTAGCGGACTCTGTTGCTTCGTCCACTACTTCAGTGTCTTTTGTTTTTACATCATGTCTTACCTCAGGAGACGTGGTTAAAAGCATCCTTTGTAAACATGCCGTCAGGACTATAACAGGATTATTAGGCTAAAGAAAACTGTTTTATTGGCAGGGTTCTGGGGTTCAAACACAAAATAAAATGTGAACTATTAGCGCCAGAGCAAAGGCTACATATGGTGTATCTGTTAAATAATTCCCAAATGACCTCAATAAACAACTTGGTATGATAGAGGGGCTTCTGGCCGAGCAGATAAGGGGCGAAGTCAAGATTTATTTTCTTATAAACGTCCTGTGGTTCCACTTAAAGTCAACAAGGACATGCAGCAGGAATGCGTTTATGCAAGAGACGAGCTCGGAATGTTTTGAGCTGCTGTCAGTATCCAGCTGATAGCATCGCTGACCACAAGTTGTGAATTTATTGGGGGGCGTGGAGCTCATGTACCACACCCAGTGGCAGACGGATTGGGTGGTTTGGGTCTTGGGTAACAAAGGTTTCGGAGCCGATGCATTTCCTAAATCTCATAATTTAAAATGATTTATTTGTCTTGTGTCAAAGTCTGTGTGGTTCAATATTATAGTGTTCCTTGGTTGGAGGTATATTATTCTTAATAAAATCAAAATGACACTATGTGCCAATGATGACAATAACTTATCAGACTGATGTGTTTTTTGTACCAGGCTGTAAACATGTTTATTTGTGCTGTATAGGCGACTTTTTTGGCTGCGGTGTGTCTGCAACTTTGAGGGGCTCCTGGAGCCAGCCTCAAGCGGTCTCTTGACGAACTGCAGCATTTTGCACTTCCACATTGGCTTCATTTCTCAACACCGGAGGTTGCCGATTGGGAATAAGTTATGTCCTTGACGTTCTCCATTTACTACAAGTCAGTCAGTTTGGATAAATGTGTCTGAGCTTGTATAACATTACATCATGAATATGAGTCACGGGTTGTTTTGTATGAAAAAGAAAGACCTGGGTAACAGCAGTGAGCTACACTCTGCCACCACTTAACAAATGGGAGTGAACTGCCCTTTAAGAAGAACTAACTAAAATGTTTACCTCCTCCTGCTCACTGCTGATGTTGTTGTTACTCTACACATACAGTGAAGTAGTCGTGTATCAGGAGGGAGTTACATACTGCATTTACTAATCTAATTATTCTTTTTTAGATGATTATTTGATCTATTAAACTTGAAAACAAGTCAAAGACATCACACACAGATGTTTTTAAAGAAAAGAGAGAAACACAAAATGCCTGAGAAGGTAAAGCTGCAGCTCTACTCACCTGTTCTTGAGCTTGGGAAACCCAGGTCTGAGTCAGCAGCCCCAGTCTGGACTTGTGGTACTTTTTGGTAGTTTTCACCGCGATAAAAATGTCTTTTAACTGCAACGGGTCCTGAGTCCTTGATCGTGAAAGTCCATTAGGCTTTCTTACGAGAAGAGCACCTGTTTTGGGGTCCGTCCCCCTCTTGGGATCGGGTTTTTCCTTCCTGATAACATCAGTATCGATGGATTCCCCCTGCCCTGCTGAGCTCCTTTTGAGCCCTCTTGTAGAGTCTGTTTCCTCGTCATGATTAGACCCTGCTCGGAGTCCGACATGGTGCAATTGGCCCGTCTGTGAAGGTCTGACTTGAGGCCGGGGATGAGGCAGATCCACCTGGCGTGCAGAGGGCTGGAGGGCGGGGATGAGAAGGAGCAGGAGGCCGCAGAAAGCAAGGGAGAGCAGGAAGCAGAACTTGCTGACACCCACTGAAGCTATGTGCATCCTGACCAGCCGATGGAGCGGCTTCATCAGCCTCCAGGGCTGCAGCCAGCACCACCCTGTCTCATCCTCACACCATTACATGAAATCCTGCAAGAAAACAGAGGAAGATTTCGATGAATTCAACATGGCAGACAGAGCAGAGTGCCGACACAAGCTGCAGTACAGGCCTTTCTGTAAAAGTGGAGAGAGAGGCTCTGGTTGTTAGAAAGGCCATATGGCATGAAGCTCACTGCTGGGGGTCAAACAGTCACTTGAGACAAGAGGGAGTTTCATGCTTCATTTGCTGCTCTTTGATTGCTTCTTCACAACAAAGGCACAGGAACGGCATTCTTCAAGGTACTTTGAAATAAAGTCAATACTGCATGTCCCCCAATGAGCTTCCCTCTGCTTTACACCAGTGCATTGTTTCATGGCAAGGTGCTGCTTGAGCCATAATAACAGACTTATCCTTACCCTTTCCTGTTTTATTTTGTTCTTCTTGAGCCTGCGCCATAAAAGCTTTCATAATAAACCTACCTCAAATGTCTGAATTCATCGCAATAAATATGAAACATCAATGCAAACAAGCACTGCTTACTCACTCAGCATGTCTACATTTCACACTCTTGCCATTTTCATGCAGTCTGATGGAACTCAAGTCAGCTATCAGCTACCCCTCTGAGTCATTGTTGGAGATGTAGTGGTAAAAAGAAAAAGGCTCAATTTATTTGAGATTCACAAGAAACATTTTGCTAATAGCTTTAGCTAAAGGTTAAATGCATATTATTTAGTATCAGTTTCTTTATCACACTAAGTTCATATCATTATTTCAATATAAAGACTTTATTATTTCAGATCCAAATTCCAAATATATATTGCAGATAGAAAAAAATATCACAATGTCCCTTTTCCCCCCCAATATCGTCCAACCCTAGAATAGAAATAGTAAGTAATAGTTTTAGTTCTCTCCCAGAAAACAAAGCACTTTTGTATAAATTCCAAATAAAAAAACATTAAGGGATTAAAAAGGGAAATTAAAAATGATATCAGTGTTTAAATGGCCTCTGAGAGCGAGATTAAAATCCAGGCTGAAGTAAAGCAGACGAGGAGCAGAAAAACAGCAGCCTCCCTGCCTGGTGTTTTTTTTCTGGTACCAAACCACTGTGCTAATTTAGTCAGAAAATAACTTGCATCAATTTTTTTTGACATGCAGTGTTACTTTCCATGTAATTTTAAACTCGTATAATGGTCTATGAGGCACACTGTTTAATTCGGCTTAGGTGTAATTGACCATGCATTTCTCATTATACTGCTATTCACACGTTAACGTTTGGCCCCTGTTTAAAGGTGTGCAGCATTGTTTTTAAAAGAAGCTGTCACTAAAGTAGAGTTTTGGTTAACAAAGTTATAAAAGTATTTAGAAGTATTTTACTTTTAAAGCAGATGAATCTCTTCTTGTTCTTTGAGAGGCTGAAGTCAAAGTGTGACTCAACAATAAACTCTTAAAATTAAAGATTTCCAGGTGGAGTTTAAAGCTCGGAAAATAAACTTACCATCAACTTTCAGAGGCCACATTTCACTTCGTTCCTCCAGACATGAACCTTTTAAGCCACTGTAAGACTTAACTGTAAGAAGACATGCAGTTTCCACGAAAACACGTAAATCTAAATAAACAAGAAGTATCGACGGTGTTGAGTTAACTTCGGCTAACCGGTGAACAACTGGCTTTTTGTTCCGACCGGACTCGTTTTCGTCGTTCTTCTCCCGCCGACCGGAGCTACTTATCTCTTTAAATGAGAGTCTGGGTAGTTTCTAAACACACAAATCCGAGAAAGTTACCTTTTACTTCCACCGCGACCGACCGCTTCAACTAATTTACCAGATAAATATCCCACAAAACACTTTCGATAGTGTTGTCAAGCTAACTCTGTTAGCATCGCGTTTCCGGTCATTTTCTTCAAAATAAAGGCGTGACATAGAAGACTAAAATACGGTAATAATCACGGGAACAAATAAGAAGTTTATTTCCTTTATTATGCTTTACATTCATTTTTCATGCTATACCCTTTCCCTCATCCTTTCGACATTTATTCTTTAAATGTCGACTTTTTTATCTCAACATTTCAGGTTTTTTCATATTTTTCATAATTTTTTTTCCCACTTCATTTTTTACTTTTTTTTCTCAACATTTTGTCTTAATGTAAGACATTATAGTTCGACCTCACTTCTTACATTCCGACTTTGTTTTTTCGAGTGCTTTATCTAAATTTCGACTTTTTTTCTCGTGGTGTATAGCCTATAATGGTAAGCAAATCTTGCTCCTATCATTATGTATTAGGCTACTTGTGTCTTGCCCTAATCCTCTTTTGTAGTAAAATATATTTTTATGTATCTTTAAAAATGATTTCTCTATAATAACATACACTGTTGTATCTTTAAGAGATTCACAAAATGCAAAAACGTTTGTACCCTTTTGAAATATGAGTATAATTAAATCAAACACCTGCCCAGTGCACCTCTAACTTTTGCTTATAGTCCATGTTCCTTTAAGACTATTTATCAAAATCCTCAAAAGACTAACAGTACCGAATGAATGATAAATGGTAAATGGACTTGATAACACATTTACACACAGATGGCAGAGGTTTCTATTCAAAGTGACCATCAGAAATGGATTCATTCATCTATTGATAGCCACATTGATGTACATTTATGTATTAATACTGACTAAACTTACAAGATAATGTACACCTGCAACCTTTGCCTAACAAAATACAAATAAATAAAAAGTTGGTCACAAAAAAAGGTGTAAAGCATGACTGAATGAATAAATAAATGACACAAGAGTATTCCCCTGGGTTGTTTTTATTGATCACGGGCACATCATCTTCCACGTAAACAGTCACTGACTGACATCAGCTGCATGTGTTGTCACAACACTCCAAGAACGATATCAATAACTGAAGTTTCTGCACCTTCGTTCAAATCAAACACCAGTTTCAGAACATACTTCAAATCAACACCACAGTTACATTTGGATGAGAGGCGGTTGATAATATTGCACATTTTATTTCAAAATGATTCCTCAGATATGTCGATTGATTAGTTTATCAGAAACAAAGGATGTAGTCAACAACTCCTCTCACATTTCTGAAGCAGCTGGAGGTGATTTCACACATTTAGTACCGATCAGTTATCAGCTCTTCAAGTGGTTCACAACAACGATTCACACCGAATGAGCACAGAGGGGTCAAAGGTCACAGCACAGAGGTAAACAAATCGGCATAAGATGACAGGGAGGCTGCGACCGACACGTCTGATATCTGTCAAACAGCTCGGATCTTTGTTTATTATTTCATTGTCAGATCAATACATCCATTTGATCCATAGATTCTACACACTGTCAGATGTTCAGGTGACTTCTGTGCAAACACTGTCAGTCGTACTTCTAGTGTGACTTTCAGGTATCATCAAAAAGGTGAAATCATGAGCTTACAACAACACGTTACCACTCAGCACTAACATGGAGAAACACCAAGAGCTTGGAGTGAACACGGGGATTTTTCTGTTGACTCTGATTTCACAGGAGAAATGTAAAGCTGCTCTGACAGTTTTTAAATCACAAGCCTGATGAATCTTTAAAGGTTTTTTCCACTGCCACACGGCACCAAGCTGCACAGATAGACAGGATAACTTCACAGGACACGGTTTGTTGATCTGACCACCAGACACAACCGAGGAGACCTGCTTCAGAGCCCCCCCCCAATCTTACACAAGTGTACACTTTTTCATTTGAGGTGCCACCGCATTAAGGTTAAACGCTTTCTGCCTTCCACCCTGATTCATCTCTATGAACTCAGAGCTCGCCAGTCGTATTTAGTGATGGATTTGTTGGAGGGAAAGCTGGCAGAGGAGATGTTAACAAAGCAGTATTCACAGTACAGAGATGGTACTGTGCCGCAGCAATAGAAGCTCCAGTATGAGTACAGCTTGGCACATGTACACTGGAAAAAAAAGAAACCTCTTTACACAGACCACAGTTTAGCTCACACACAATAACAGTTTCACAAATGACCACTAGAGGGTGTGAGAGGGCTGCACTTGGGCTCATGCACACACACAAACACTAACACAGAGGAGAGGGGGGGGGGGTGCTGATCACTCGTCAAAACGTCCCTCCAGGATGCTCTCAAACGAGAAGGGGACGAACTTGAAGCCCTGACCGCAGTAGAACTTGTTCTGGAACTCCACCCTGAAGAAGGACGACAAGCAGGGAGAGATTAGTACAAATAGATCACACAATGAAAATAATATCAGTGTTTACGCTTTATATCAGTCCTATCAGGATGTTGCGTATGTTGAAGTGCATTTCCACAGCATCCCCTCCTCTGCTCTGTGTGTTGGTAAGAGACATGAACGTTCAAAAAAAGGACTCGAGAAAAATCTGTATTAGCCAATCGGTGACTGTGAATGCTCCACCCCTGCTCTCTCTCTCTCTTTCATAGCAGCTTGGACTAAAAATGAGACTGTTAAAAAAATGAATCATAGTGAGTGAATAAAAGATACTGAGATTGTATCATTCTTAAACACGTGGTATCTAAAAGTGTTGAAGTATCCACAATTCCACCAGAAAGTATAAAAGACCTGACACAACCCCCTGTATTCACCTGATATAAAATCCCCAAATGGGCCTTCAAAATAACACCAAGTCATACTATATACAGCTGTTGAACGTATGGCAGTATGCAGAACATACAGCACACTATGTTAGATAGTAATATAGAGCAGGCGGCTTTGAATACAGCCATTGTCTTAGTTTTGGGTACATAATGCTTTAATTATCTGCACTTAACTGAGGATGAGGATGTCATTATATCTGCAGGTATTTGTAAATAATTGTCTGAACAGAATTCCAAACATAAACAAAGACATTAAAAAAAAGTCACACTGCAGATTACGGATGTTCACTATAATAAAAGTTGAGTTTGAATGTACGGTATAAAAACTGAACTGTTGCACTTTCATAGATATGAATCTAGTTCTTGTGAGGACTCAAAACCACCCGGGTTGATCAAATCTTTTAGCTGTGTTGTTTTTAAGGCAGGGCACATTCCTTTAAAGCCAGTCAAAGTCAAATCCTCCCACACAACAGTGGAGCTCTCTCAGAGACTCATTGACAGATCAGAACAGTTTGACCTCTTGGAAACTTTGAGCATCAGACCCGTTAGTTCCTGTATATAAGTACTCGCTCTCCTTCACTTGCTCCCTGTAGATTTTAGAATCCATTTTAAAACGCGATTACTTGTTTTTAAGTCACTTTTAAGTCACTTCTTATTTATCATAACTTTTTAATCCCTTACACCCAACAAGGTCTCTCAGGTCCTCTGAGCAGTCTCTCCTTGTCGTCCCTCGAGCGCAGCGTCGCTGGACGAGAGCGGATGAGTTTGTTTTGCTTTCATGCTGGTGCTCAAGTGCGACATCTCATGGATTAAAAAGTTGCACATTCTTCCTTCAACTAATAAATGACAAGTAGAGCCATCATTTTACTGCCATCACTCACACAGCAGAGGTCATACAGATGCTTCACTCTGGCTCTCTACAGCCATAAGAGCCCAAAAATAAACTAATTTAGAAAAATAAAAAGTCAAGCTGTGTCAGGTCTGACGTCAAGAGGAGAAGAAAACAACTTTTAAAACGCTCGTTTTGTTGAATGGAGGTCAGGTAGATGCTTTCTGATGCATTCAAGGGAGTCAGGGAATCTAAACTCTGATTGTCATTGTGACATTGAGCCAACAGGTTTGTGGCTCAAGTGTAAAATGTTGATCTAGAAGAGAACTATTTTTCTGACAATTTGTTTATTAAGACAAAGTAATGATTGTCAGAATAGCGTACGTGATAGCTGGTTAGGCATTCGAGAGGATAACTGTTTCTCCTGCACACATCAAAGCCTGCTGACACGTAATTGGTCAACAGAGCTCGGACTACAAATGCAATACAAACGGAAACCTATAATACTTCGTATGCTGAAAATCCAGACCCTCATGTACAGATTCTACATTTTTATGAAGAATATGTAAATAGAGATTCAAATATGACTGACTCTCTCACAGCTGAAGCAACACACTAAAAGGCTGCAGAGTTTATTTTGTGGAATGTTCAAAACATCATGAATCAGCTTCCAGTCATTCTTCATTTACATTCCCCTGGTGACCTGAAGTCAGACTCTCACACTGAATAATCCAAAAAGTATACAACATAGTGATCACATCACACCCATAGAGAATAAGTAAATAAATAAATAATTATGATGTGTATATCTTTAGACCACACTGAGGGAAAAGATATTGCATCTTTAATCATGTATTCAGTCTTCTTCTTAGAAAAGTGTTACAGACTTGAGCTTGACAAACTCACAGAGGTGACATCAGTACGCAGAGAGGAAGTGTGAGAGTCATTGGATGGGACATTTAAGAACAGTACAGTCTGATGGTCTGCTCAAGCTCAGAGTGCTACGTGACCAAATATGGCTGCTGAGAGTCTTGAGCAGCCTGTATCTGACCCCCCTGCTCATATCTCCACCGATACTGTGTGCTGTCGGCTCATTCAGAAATGATGTTCAATGAAAACTGAAAATGACCTTTTTCAAAGATCACGTTCTTTGGGATGCCTGGTGCGTCGGATCACAGAGGACCTATTACTGTTATTTAAAAGAGGCTAAAGGTGGAAATGTATTTAGTACGAGTTAATACACAGATTTAATATTGCTCCTTCTAAGCCCCTCCTGGATGGGCTCAATGACCATCAGTCTATGCTAGAAAAGTTGGCATGATCATTTTTTAACATGCAATTCATTGGGAGTGTAAACAAATCCATCTTGAGTAAAAGTACTAGAATACATACAGCGGGGAAAGTTTATGTGTCGTTTT